GTGGCATAGTGCCTAAGGTATTTGTGGTGGTTATATTTGTGTGTCAACTTGGCTGGGCCTGGTTGAGTGGCTGGGCAGCTAGATGTAGTTATTCCCCATGATGAGACTGGCAATCAACTCCATGGTGGTATCTACCACAAGCAGCTGAGTAGCTGCTTTTGGGAATGTGGTCTGCTTCCTGTATTTAAGGAGAAGCTTTGAGACTGGTCCCTAGCCTGTGGCACGCTTGGACCCTGCATGTAGCCTTGTCATTGCTCAGCAGCCCGCTATGCTCTGCCGACCTTGGGACTTACAGTAGACTTAAGTTAATGGCCTGCCACGTGGTTTGGTAACATCGGGACTGTGCCTTTTTACTTGTCAAACTTGGGGTTTCTCAGCTTCAGCAGCCAGCAGCTGTCTGAGTGAAGAAATACCTTTAGCTCCAGTGGGCCGGGAGCAAGAGGCAGAGCTGGACCCCAAGGCTGAGAGGCTTTCATCCAGTCCCTAGAGCCTGGCACTTTGAACTTGGACTTAAAGCCTCCAAATTTTAAGAATAAACTCCTGTTTGTTAAGGCCATCCCATTTGTGGTATATTCTTGTCAGAGTGGCACTAGGTAACCAGAACAGCATTTGACTGCTAACCAGAAGGTTGGTGGTTAAAACTCACCAGCCACTCCATGGAAGGAAGACTGGCCAATCCATAAAGATTTACTGCCTCAGAAACCCAACAGGGGTCCGCTATGCATCAAAATTGACTCCATGGCAGTAAGTTTTGTTTTGGAGGACATGTGCGTATTAGAGAGCTACTTCACATTTCATAACTTAATTTACTTTGCAACCCGGTGGAAGTAAGCATTGAATGTATTATTATGGTTACTATCTTGTTTTAAAAACTCCCTGCCCTCGAGTCAGACCTGACTCATAGTGACCATTCCTTGGGTTTCTGAGGTGGTATCTCTGAGGAAGTAGATTGTCCAATCTTCCTTCTGACGAGTGGCTGGTGGGTTTGAACTGCCAGCAATCTGGTTAGCAGTCAAATGCCTTAGGCACTATGCCTCGAGAGTGGTACTCCGAATTGAAATGACTTGTTGAAAGTGGAGGTGGAATAGAACTTAAGCCTTCAGACTCTAATAAATTAAATTATGTGTTTTGTTTTTTTATTTCATGTCTCCTTCTACAGAAATAAATTCTCTTCCCTTGCATAGTGACATGTTAGTGGATGACTGTCACTACAAGAAAAATATGGTAGGCTGTTAATAAATTTTTAAAGTAGCTCAGGAAATTGATATATAAGCCTGATAAAGACTATATATTTTGCTGCTGAGAAATTACTTATTCTAAAATAACTTTAATATTTTTCATTGGATTTAATACAAATATTGTATACTCTGAGGTGAAGTAGAGTTGATTTAAACTTAGGTTAACTTTATTTTCTCTGGGCTTCCTTTTTGAAATTACTTCCAAGTTTATCTAAGGAGCTCTGGTGGGTAGTGGGTAAGGCATTTGGCTGCTAATGAGAAGGTCAATGGTTCAAATTCACCAGCTGCTCCTCAGGAGAAAGATGAGGTAATCTACTTCCTTAAAGATTTATAGCCTTGGAAACCCAATGGGGGTTGCTATGAGTTGGAACAACTCAATGGCAGTGGGTTTGATTTTTGGTTTTTATAATTTTATCTAAATATCTTCATCACCTATTCTCTGACATGTTGCAAATTTTAAAAGATAATGCATTGATATTACATTTTAGGAAATGTATTTACTATAAAGCCAAAAATCACACTCACTGCCATTGGGTGAATTCTGACTCATAGCAACCCCTATGGGAAAGAGTAGAACTGACCCACAGGGTTTCCAAAGGATCCAACTCAGTGGCAGTGGTGGGTAAGTAAGTCTTTCCTGAAGCAGACTGCCACATATTTCCCCCATCGTGGTTAGCAACCAAGCTCTATAACCACTGCACCACCAGGGCTTCTTATATTTATTATACTTAAAGAAATTAAGATAACATGCTGAAATTATAAAATCTTTCATATTTATCCTCATAGGTATTTTATGGAATAAATTCATATATCCATATGGGAATTTGGATATTCTTTCTATTTAAAGTAACAGATACATCTAAAAATTCAAATTACTTATTCAAAAGAACACTAAACACAGAATAGAAATAAGATGAGTAATACATGTAGAGGCAGAATGCAGATCTTATATATTGTTGTTGTTGTTATTTGCTGTTGAGTTGGCCCCGACTCATATTAGGATAAAGGAATTTGGCCTTATGCTATAGACCAATGCCAAGAATTGTTCAGGGTCTAAAATTTTACCCTACCTACAAGCTAAAAAACTAGACTATTAGTACACTTGTTTCAAGGTTGCTGGTTTAATATATGATTCTCCTGGGTCAGAGACAGAGGACTTTAGAATCCACTGCCAAAGCAGTAGCTAGAGCTATTTGGTATGATACTTGAGTCAATTTCCTATGCCCCACCCCTCAAGTACCATTGGGGTAATACAAAGGACCAAGATGGATGCTGGCATGTGCAGCAGGTTGTGTTGCAGAACAGAACAGAGAGCTTGTGGGATACAGTGCTTTTCTAATAAACAGAAGCAAACCTGCTCTTTTTCTAGGTGAAGGTATTAACTCATCCATCAAAGTTGCCCACTATAAGCATCATGCTGAAAAATGGCCCAGGTAAAGAATGGTCAGGATTTCACATTCTTGTTTGTACCCAGAAAGGCTGTGCATGGATGATCAGGGCCATGGAAAATTCTCTCTCTCAACAGCAAGTAGCTCTCAACAATTTGTGACCTAAACCCCTATGGAATAAGAAACATTGCTATGGGCAACAATGATTTCTTTGCCAGGGATTCTCAAGAGAAGGAAAAGGAATCCTGTACTCTTAACTGCCTCTCTGATCTAGAAATCAGAAGCCTAATGAAGTTTATAAGCAGGTGTGGGTTATGTGCCATAATCATATTTTTATTTTAGAAAGATCACTCAAGAAACAGTGTAAAGAACTGACTAGAGTGGAAAAGACTAGAAGCAGAAGCTAACAGAGGAGACTGTTATGACAGTCCAGGTAGGGGATCATGAGGTGATTCAAGTTAATATAAAATTGGATATAAAAGATGGACCAACAGAAAGGTGCTGGGCTGGAATGGAGGGTTGTGAGGGATGGGGAATTGCTGAGATTGACTTATTGATAAGGAAATCAGTGGCTAGGGATTTGAGAGTAGAATAAATTTTAGAATGAGGTTCAGTTTTTCATAAGTTGTACTTGAGAGTTTTACTGATTTCAGTGGCCTATAGCTTGAGTATAATGAGGCCCAATATATGTCAGGATAGAGAAGCAAATATATTATAGATGATTTAGAATCCACTAGTGAAATTTACCTCTTGTTAATTTAAAATTGTTGTTGTTGTTGTTGGGTGCCACCAAGTTGGTTCCAACTCATAACGACCCTATGTACAACACAACGAACACTGCCCAGTCTTGTGTCATCTTCCCAATCTCTGCTGTGCTTGAGCCCATCATCACTGATATTTGTAATGTTTTCCAGTAACACATCAGACAGTTTTTCACTGCTATTCACAAGGTTTTCGGTGAGCAATTTTTTTCAGAAGTGGATGACCTTTTCTTCCCAATCTGTCTTAGTCTGGAAGCTCCACTGAAACTGTCCACCATGGGTGACCCAGAAGATATTGGAAATACCCAGTGGCATATCTTCCAGCATCACAATGACATGCATGCCACCACAGTAAGATAAAGTGGTAGATGGGTGTTAACTTAAAATTAGCCAAGTTTGTTTATTTCCCAGCAGCTTTCTTTCAAAATACACAAACACACACACACACACACAATGTCCCACACTTGCCAATTATAGAGAATACTGAGGTCTGCTATACACTTTAATTTGTAGCATAAAAATTGTGGTCAAAAATAGCACAAAGAACGTAGACAAATGTTCATTGCATCATTATTAGACACAATAGCCAAGGGATAGAAACAACTCAACTGTCCATCAACAAATGAATGAATTAACCCAGGTGATATATACATACAATGGAATATTATTCAGTTATAAAGAAAAATGAAGTTCTGATATAGGCTATGAGATGGATGAACCTTGAAAATATTATACTGAATGAAATAAGGCAGTCACAAAATAACAAATATTGTATAGTTTTATTTATATGAAATAACTAAAATAATCAAATTCATGGAGACAAAAGTGTATTAGTGGATACCAGGGACTGAAGAGAAGGGGAAACTGGGAGTTACGTTTAAAGGGTAATGAGTTTCTCTTTGGAGTAATTAAAAGCACAAAAAAGTGAATGTAAGAAATATCACTAAATTGTACACTCTAAATGACTTACGTATAAAAATTCTTGTTATATAAATTTTATCACAATAAAAACATGTCACAAAAATCTCCACTATCCAGGAGACCAAAGATAGTAAGACTCAAAAAATAACCAAAATTACATAATATTCTCTACAATCTTTAATGAATTCATGTGGTAAGTGAGCAATCCCAATACTTCATTTAAGCCAACAGTTTCAATCTTGCCTATTCTAAATGATTTTTTATGGAAAAGGAATCATTTTGCTTATATCCTCTTATTCTTTATCCCAAACTGCAGCAATCAGTTATCCATGAGTAAAAGGTATATAGTGGAGAAGAAGCCAGAGTCTGGATAACCAATTCATTAAAAAAAAAAAAAAAAAAAAGATAAATAAAACATCATTCTCCACCAATATTCCTCAAAATGATGGACCAGAATATTTCATAGACAAAATTGACATGTAGCAGCTATTTCTGAACTATCTACTTTGCCAGATATATTGGGTCTAGATACAAACACTGGATGCAGAAATGGGTTTCAAAAGTCTGAGTCATTGATATTTTTGTAAATTTAATAAAGACCAAAAACTTTTGGCTCTGGGAATTAATAAATAAATAAATAATGTTTCTTTATTTTATTTTATAATCCAAGTTAAGAGCTGCCACACCCTTACCTGATTGCAGGTGTTGATGTCTATGCCACCCTTCAGATACTCAACTACTTTGTCCAGGTTGCCTGCTCTGGCAGCTCGGAGGAAACTTGCATTGCTGTCAGACTGTAAGGAAAAACAAAAGACCTTTAGTGAGTTATTGATAAAAATATATCAAATACTAAAGATAAGAATGTTTACATTGTACATCAGAAAAGCTTTAGCTGCAAAAAAAACTTCACTATTGAGTATAATTATCCACAGTATAAGGCAGCAACTACATAATGTTTCTAGAGTTATTTAAGTCATTAAAGTCAATGGAAAATATGCTCTGCTACATTAATAAATATAAAACAACAACAGAAAAGCTGCATTCAAGTTGATTCTGGCTCATGGTGACCCCCTGTGTATAACTGCTCCATAGGGTTTTTTCCTCAGTATTTTATTGTTTTTTGGTGAAAGTTTTCACAATGAATTAGGTTCTCATTTAACAATTTTTGTGCAAATTATTCCATGGCATTGGTTATAATTTTCACAATGTGTCAACATTCTCAGTAGTTCTTTTCTTTGTTCTGTTTCCATTGATCTAGCTTCCTTTCCCTTCCTTGCCTTCTCATCTTTGACTTCGAGTAACTTAACTGTTTGATCTCATATAGTTAGTTGTTTAAAGGATACATTACTCATGGGTGATATTATTTTGTAATTAATCTGCTCATTCACTGAAAGGCAATCTCTGCCTTCAGTTCCAATAAAAATGTGTTGCAGGGTGATAGTCTCAGGGGTTCTATCAGTGTAGTAAGTCTATTCTTTTTTATGAATTTGAGTTTGGTTCTAGTATTTTTTCTCCCATTCTAGCTGGGAACTTCTCTTGGATAAGAAGGTAGTAAGAACAGTTGGTAGTGGTAGCTGGGCACTATCTAGTTCTTCTGGTATCAGGTTAGAAGAGACCATGGCTCGTTTGGGCTCTTAGTCCTGTGGACTAATTTCTGCCTTGAGTCTTTACTTTCCTTCATTCTCTTTTACTCCAGATGAGTAGAGGCCAATAGCTGTATCTTAGATGGCCGCTCGCAAGCTTTGAAGATCCCAAGTGCTGTTGAATAAACTCGAATGTAGCAAGTTAACTTTATGAACTATGTTATGCAAATTGGCTAAGTTATCCCATGAGATTATGGTCCTAAGCCTTTCAATGCAGTACACGAATTCTGTAAGTTGTTTCAATATGTACAGGAAGTCTCCATAACTGTGCCACCTATGTGCTATGTTATATCTACAGATATACATGCAGTGTACACAAACATGCATTTACATATGCCTATAGATATACTTAGGAGCTCTGGTAGCATAGTGCCTAAGGCACTTTACTCCTAACCAGAAGGCTGGAGTTCAAACCCACCAGCCACTCCTCAGAAGGAAGGTTGGGCAATCTACTTCCATAGTGATACTGCCTTGGAAACCCAAGGAGGGGTTGCATGAATTGAGTCTGACTTGAAGACACATAACAACAAAGATACACTTATACTTACATGTGATGCACTCACACATGCCTTCTTATACTCATATATGCACACACTTTTGCCTATGAAACTACATACATATTGTTTGGTTGTTATTACTATTGCTGCAAAATTGAATATTTTATAGCATTTACCATAGTTGTTCCTTTTTCTTGTGTACTTCTTCATGTCTTCATTTATTCTGATCAAGTTGTGTGGGCTTCACACTTATATGGTATTGATTTTCCCATCACCAAAAATAACAAGTGTCTACTATCTTGAAAATGATTCCCTCTCTCTCCCTCTCCCATACAAAGGGGTTTCATGGCTGTGACCTTTCAGAAACAGATCACATTTAACCCAAATCTCAGAACTGGTTATATGTTTACAAATCTGGGAATAATTTATTGCAAGATCTCTTTTCCAAGATGCCTCTGAGTAGGTTTGGATTGCCAACTTTTCGATTACTAATGGGACACTGTTCTGGTTACCTAGTGCCACTCTGACAAGAATATATCACAAATGGGATGGCTTGAAGGAACAGAAGGTTTTTTTTTTTTTTTCTCTTACAATTTTGGAGGCTTTAAGTCTAAGTCCAAAGTGCCAGGTTCTAGGGGCTGGGTGATAGCCCCTCAACCTTGGGCTTCAGCTGTGCCTCCTGTTCCCAGCCCACTGAAGCTGGAGGCTTGTCTTCACTCAGACAGCTGCTGGCTGCTGAGGCTGACAAGTCCAAAGTTGACAAGTAAAAAGGGACAGTCCCAATGTTACCAAACAACAGGGAAGGCCAGTAATTAAAGTCCAGATGAAGTCCCAAGATTAGCAGGACATGGCAGGCTGTTGACAATGACTTGTCAAGTGTACCAAAAGGCTAGAGAACAATCCCAAAGCTTCTCCTTATATAGAGGAAGCAGACCACATCCCTAAAACAGCTACAGCTGCTCACAGCAGATTCCACCATGGAGTTGACTGCCAGTCTCATCATGGGGAATAACTACCTCCAGCTGCCCAGCCACTCAACCACGGCCAGCCAAGTTGACAACAACCTTAACTACCACAGACACTCAACTATTTGTGCCACCCAGAGACTCCCAAAGAGTATAAAAGAACTATTGAAATGAAAATAACTGTTACTACTTCATTCTAAACCTTCAGGCACATCTGGGGTAAATTTACAGTACTCCCAAATGCCACTGTTACCCATTAATTATATTTCAAGATTTGAGTAACTTTACACTGAGCATAATGTCATGACAAAGGAGCCCTGGTGGCACAGTAGTTAAGTGCTCATCTGCTCCCTGAAAGGTTAGTTGTTCAACTCTCCATGGAGAAAGATGTGACAGTCTGCTTCTGTACAAATTACAGCCTTGGAAACCCTACAGGGCAGTTCTGCTCTGTAATATAGGGTCACTATGAGTGAAAATTGGGAGCTCTGGTAGCATAGTGGCTAAGACACTTGCCTGCTAACCAGACGGCTGGTGGTTCAAACCCACCAGCCACTCCTCAGAAGGAAGGTTGGGCAATCCTACTTCCGTAGTGATACTGCCTCGGAAACCCAAGGAGGGGTCGCTATGAGTCGGGTTTGACTCGACAGCATGTAACAACAACAACAACAATGAGTGAAAATTAAAACTATTGAGTTTCTTCTCTCTTTTTCCTTACAGTTTGGTTTTCAGATGAGTCTGAGTGAGAACATTGAGTATGGGTCACTTGGCAGCCACATGTCTTCATTATAAAGGAACAACAGAAGGTACCATGGATGCTTTCAGAAAAGAGGATAGCACTGGTTGGCAGATGTGGTCTGAACCAATGCAAATTTTGTAAGTTCAGTGATTTTGGAAAAACAAGATTAAATTTAAACCAGATGGCATAATACCAAACTAAAATCCCTTGGTAAAGATGATCGCTCTTGACGGAGAGTGCTTTTTAAGTTCTTCATATTCCCTACTTCTCTAAAATTCTGATCCTTGGAGAATCCTTTCCTGAATTTTCCCCATGAGAAGTACTGAAGAGAATTGCTCTAGAGATCTAGCTACAGACACACTTCTTGGTTAAAAATGTGACTTTGACCTTAACAAAATAATGACTATAAATTTTATTAAGATTCCAAGACACATGCATACTGTTATAATTTGTCTTGAAGGATAATCTCTCTGACATAAGATCTGACCAAGGAGAAAACCTAGCTTGAAAAAGTACATAATTTATCTAATAGGAAGTGAGACACAGGTTTGATGACTTTAATCAAGCATTGTACTCACAGGGCTACTTTGCCTCTCTCCCTCCAAAAATGTTCTTGGCAGGGACTCTTGGCAACTCCATCAGATCTGTTTATTATGACTTGTGATGATGTACAGAGATAGAAATGAAGTATTTTCTCTGGGTGTCTCCAGTATGGAATTATTGGTATTCTATTAAAATGATTTACACATGGGAAGACTGAAAACTCTAAGACTAAGTTACCTCATGTTTAACCTAAATCTCAGAATGGCTTATATATTTCCAGAACTCAGAGATAATTTATTAACAGTTGAAAGGTAGAATTGAAATCTCTATATCCGGAACTCGTGCTCTGATTCTCCAGAAACGTACTGTGTATGATTAATATCACACTGTTCTTCCTTCTCCCTGCATCCCTACAATGCCTCACACTTCATCCTTCCTGAAAGCTGTGCCTATGGCAAAGTGCCCTAAGTAAATCTGCAATGCTACAGGATTGGAATTGTGACTCATTTCAAAATATCTATTCTAAGGAAATTATCCTGCTGTTTATGGCAAATTCTAAATTCCAGGAGTATTTTCCACTTTCAGGTTTCTTGCTTCATCACTCAAATGTGAAACATAGCATAAATGTATTATATTATGTTAATATCTCATAAGAACATTCTTTTATTTACCATAACACAACAAAAATAAAATACTATTAGGTCACAGATTGAAAATATCACTTTTACCACTTTGCTATCTACAAGGTTTTTGAAACACATCTACATGCTGTATTTTTTTAAAAGATTTTGCCTAGCTGCTTATGCACAGGGAGATAGCTCAGGGGGCAGGAGTGTATGGAGGGATGGACACTGAGAAGAGGTAACTATGGGGAGGAAGTGGGAGGGGAGCTGTTGCATTGTGGTAAACTATGGTCAATGACCTGAGACAAAGTATATGTGAACTGCTGTATGGAAAGTTAATTTGCTCTGTAAATCTTAACCCAAATCACAATAAAAAAAAAAAAAAAAATTTGCCTAGAAAGTATCCTCAATTTGTGCATGAAGCAAATAATTATAGGTAACATTTATTGAGCATTTATGTGGGCCAAGCACAAAGCTAAGAGAGGCACATATATTATTTCATTAATTTTCACAGTAATACTATGAAGATGGGATTATAATGATGCCCAGTCAATAGGTGAGGAAAGACATTTATACAGTTACCAGAGTCCCACTGCAGTGAATTGCTTGATGTGGCCCTTCTAGCCATTGTCCTCCATTCTGTGATGTTTTGTAAATCTCATTATCCATGCCTATTTGGGGTGGTGTGGTAGTTAAGGTCAGGTATCAACTTGGCTGGGCAGCTGGTAATAGTCATTCCCTATAATGACTGGCAATCGACTCTGTGGTGGGATTTAAGTTAATTCTG